AAAAAAAAAAAAAACCACACACACACACCGCGAGCGCCCCCCGCCACCCCAACATTGGCTGCCCCTTCTAAGGTGCCGCCCCAATCACGTGCTTGGTTGGCTGGTGCCTGGAGCCGGCCCTGTAGGGAAGTCCAGTAGAGATGTGTTCCACAGCACAGAGCGGGTGTGGACCACTGCACGAGCTCTCCAAATCCTGCTGCCGAACTAGTTCCCTTGTGTTTGCAGAAGGAGGCCAAGGGGACAATTTCCAGAATGTCCATATAACTGATATATCTGACTAGTTTAGAAAAGTCCTGGGGCCAGAGTCAGCTCTAGTGTAGCACAAATTCCTTCAGTTGATTTACAGCAGGGATGATTTTGGTCCAATAGCTATCAGTCTAAAGTCAAGTTTATGGATTAGAACTTTCCAGTGTCAATGAGAGTCATTAGGATTCTATCTAAAGCCTGGTTAGGGCACAACTATTGCAAATATTCACAGACCATCGTTGCCAACTCTTGTGATTTTATCTTGAGTCTTATGATATTTAATCTTTAGCTTCAAGCCTCCGATTCCTGTGGTTCAGAAGCCCAGGTTTCATTTCTTTTTAAAAGCAAGTTTTTATGGCTGTGGAAAAAACCTGAAAATGTGATTCAAGTATCACCTAAAGGCTCAACAACCAGAAGGAAAAGAAAAAAATCCCAGCATTTTAAAATATCTCATGATGTTTAAGCCAAACTCATGATTGGAGGGATAAGGGGGTATCTTGGCTGGCAATATTATTAGTGCACTCCCCATTCCCTGCACTGACACCTGCTGGTAAGGAAAAGCTAATTATATACATTATTCCTAGTTTCCTAATCCAATTCATATTCAATACACATCTCAGAACACCAACAAAAACATTTCCATATTTTTCTACTGGAAATTACATAGAGCCTTTTGCCCTCCCTTTTTAAAAGCAAATGACCGAATAATATGGCATTGTATTTAAAATGTAAAATCTAATGATGCAACCTTGTATTTGCATTTTCAAGGTGTTACCTCAGGCGTGTGCTTTGCTATCTCTCTAATTAAAGTTGCAGCATTTTTCTTGACATATTCATCTGAGTCCTTCAGGCATGTAAGTACAACTGGGAAAATTTCTGCTTCAACCCCCATTTCTGCAAGATCCACAGAATGTTTTGCTATTTGGCTGAGAGCTGAAAGCACCTGACGCTGGTAAACAGAAATTGTTTTATAAATTATTATTATACAAACACCCCACAACACACACAGAGTGTCATCATATACACATCTGCTCCATCAAAAAACAAAGCAACACAGAGCAAACAACCACAGCTATTATATAATTCATTAAGTCAATTCATATGCAAGTCTAATAGCTGAGAGTATTTACTAGTATCTAATAAAAGTTTCTCCTTAGGTTTTCCTCTTAAAATATGCTATATAACAGAAACACAAATACAATAAGTCACAATTTAACACTATATCTTAAAAGAAAATATAGAAACCTATAGTAATTGTTTTTGCTTGCAAAGCATAAGATTGAGCCCACAGATCTTATATTTAAAATATTCCATGTAAGTATTTAGCTATATTCTTTTTAATAATGATATTTTATTATTTATTTATAGCTGTAAGAATAAGACAGTAAAACTGTACACAGGAATGGAACTATATTTTCTATAAACTAAACTATAAATGACAACTTAACAGCTATTGAAACAAATATTCAATGTATTCCAAAAACAAATACATTATTGTATTTAAATATTAAACTAAAACGTTTTTATAACACAACCAGAAATGTGTAACTCTGCTTGCCTGTAACTGGGTTGTACACATAATACCTATTAAATCCATCTAACAGGTTTTAAAGTTTAGGGCTTGGATTTTACATTTAACACCAAATTTGTTTCTTAGATATTACTACGTAAATCTCTTTGTGCACTCCTGGCCTAGAACACAAACACTATTCACTTGAAAGACTAGTTTCACTGTTCCTTATTGAAGAGCTATTGAACACACAAACATAATCAGAACTCTGTTATCAACTGTGTATGCTTTTTTTGTTAGACATTTCAATAAGATCTTGCTAAATAAAGATGGATATCAATGTCCTCAGTTTAGTAACAAATAATGCCTAGTGTAATTTAGAAAAAAAAATTAAAAGTACCTTCAGTTTAGCATCAGGGTTCAGGATCATCTGAGCTAAGTGAGCAATGGCCCCCGCATCCACTACTGTCTGAGCTAACTCTGGAGAATGCTTTGAAATATCACTGAGGGCTGAGGCAGCAATCCTTTTCAAAGCAATTTCTGGCTCCTGGATACAGAGTACTAAAAGAGGAACAGCTCCTGCATCTACCACAGCTTGTGACAGTTCTGTAGGTCCAAGAAAAGTAATTAAGTGAGTATGGGTGACTGACCCTTGTGCAAGCCATTTTTCACCCTGACAGATAGAGCAAAGAAAAAAAGGGAGGGTGTACTTCACTGTCTCGACATCTGCATTTCAAATCAGCCCTCCTGGTTTCATAAACCATGTGGACCAATCCACAACTGAAAAGAATACAGGTCAATAGATGGACCCCCATTTACATGCACACATTTGAGGTAGATTAAGCTGAAATGGTTTGTTATTCTGTGTTAAAAAAAAAAAAAAAGAGTAAGCAGATGTCAGCTGTTTAAGCCCTGGCTATTCTGCACTGATCAATAGGCAAGCATTTTATGCATGGCTAACAACAGAGAAAGCTAAAGTACCAAAATTTTACCAACCACCCTAATTAGACAACATTTTGTCCGTTTAAATTATAAGCAGATATTAATATGGATCATGTGCCAAATACAGCAATACTATTTAAAAAACAAACAAACATATATTTTACACTGTTCACTGAAAAAAAATGCACCTTGTTTTGTAACACAACCCAACAAGGAGTTGCCACAGTCCATTTAAAAGACATTTTGATGGCACTAAAATATAAATTCTACCACATATATTTAGTTAAATGAGATGTATTGTCATTGTGAGATTATGCATTTGAGTTTAGCACAACATCCTTAGCTAACTTCATCTTAATTAAAAAAAAAACACACGTAATTAGCTGACTTATTCAAGAACTGCAGTATTAGAAATTCATTAGCTCTTTCCCTATATTTGGCATTAATCACAGTACTGAAATAAGAAATTATTAGATAATGAGGTGCAAAAACTACATGATAGCCATTTTAAGATGTTGAGGAATGAATACAAAATACATTAGTTTCAAATAACCTGTTAGCTTCTTAAATAAGGTTTTGCTACGTTCTATCCTTGTTATGCACATCCAGTCTTATCTTTAACATTTAACTTGGCTTACAGTACCATGGCAACATATGGCTATTGTATTTCAAGGACCTAGCTTAGTTTTTCATTTACAGTCCATCGATCAAGGCTTTCCATATTAAGAAATTATATATATATATACACACACACACACACACACACACAATCTTTCATTAAGTATGTATAGTTATGCAGTCATTATGCGGCTTGTATTTTGTTAGTACCCAAATCATCTTTATGACTATATGTGTTTTTTGAATTAGTAGACCACAGATGCCCACCCTGACATGCATTGAACACACAAGTTTTTACACTGTACTTAGGATTTTACATGGTTAAAATAATAGTTTTTATGAAGCAATATTTATATTATACATACAGGAATTTTTAAAAGATTATTACAATTAATCTTCCAGGGTTCACTTTCAAATAACTATTTTATTGAAAATTAGGGGTTTGCGTATATTCGCAAGGCATATGCGTCTAATACAAGCTCACACAGCAGATCTCTCTCTCCCTAAAAGCTAAAGAGATACATGTATATTCAAAGCCCAGGATTTCAACAAAACCCTGTGTTAGAGTGTGCATCTATGATTCAATACTTCAAAACTAAATTTAGTAAAGAAGGTTATTTGAGCACAAAGATATTGAATGCACGTGACAAACTGTTGCATTTTATGTATTTCTAATGAAAAATGTGCAAAGTAATACTTGCCTCCCACCAAAAATATGTTTTGGTATTGTATACTAATTGATATAGACACATGATTTACTCCTAATCAAAAGGTCAGTTAAAGAAAGAGAATATCCAGAAAAATAAAAACAGACAGTCCAGCTGAGCAGCCTACTAATGTAACAGCCTCTTTAGAGGCAACTTCAAAGACACCATCTCAATTGCCTGAAGACTGCCAAGGAGATGATGCCAAGGAAATCACATCAAGGAGATAGGTGATGATGCTGGAAAAATATATTTCGTGGCTTACTGTCAGGATATTGTCATTACCTTTCATAAAGAGAGAGGAGGAAGAGGAGAAGTTCTATAATGTCTTAAGGTCACCGCTAAGCCCTAACACTTTTTTTTTTAAATTAATGATCCACAAAATTTAAAAGGGAACATAAACTAAGTGTGATTTAGTATAAATCTTTTCTGAAGGTCTAGGAGTCTGATGACATTTAAATACTTATTTAAACATGACCAATATGAACCATGAGTATCTGCTTTTCTGATATTGTTTGTAAGATGTATCTGTTTGCATGGCTAAAGACATAATTAATGTAGGCTCCCAATTGCACCCCTAAGATCCACAAAGGGTAGGGGGCAGGTGGGCTGGCAGAAGAGTGAGCAGGTTGAGATAGGGCTGCAGGGAAACACATATCATTCCCATCCCCCCCACTAGTGCCTAGCATAGCCCAAGACAGAAATGTAACATGGCCTGGGGCATAACACTGATGGGAAAATTTCCATTTAAAGGGTGCCTTCTTGGCATGGCTTTGTTGGAGCTATGCTGCCAAAGAGTATGGTCAGATATAGAGAGCCAATGACGAATTCAGTGTCCCTGGCTTACCTCTGATTCCCCAAGATTCATAAGCTTTGTGTGTGGTCCCTGGGGCCTGTTCTTTAGGGGGCGATGGGACAAATTCTTCCCGCAACAGAAAAATTGCAGAGAAATCTCTGTGATGTTCACCACAAGGTTTTAATTCTTTTAGCCCTCTCCTATAAGCTTTCCTATAGCACAGGGGAGGGGATCAGGCCCCATATTTGCTCATGTCAGTGTTTACGGAGAGATGCAAGATTCTAACCATTCATTTCCCCTCTGCCCCCAATCTTTTTACCTATTCTCACTGCCATACCCCACCCCATCATTTCCCTTGCTCTCCGTGTCCACAATCCCAAATGCACTTCCCATATGCTGTCATTAGGTCTGTGTTCTCTCTCTCCACTAGTGGCCAAATGATTTTTTCCATCCATACATTCTTTGAGTCGACGCAGCCCATTTTGAGCCCTGCCAACATGCAGCAAGAAAGAGCAGTGGTCAAAGAAACACTCATCATCTGTTTTCAGACACTTTCTCATTTGTTTGTGTTTATTTGCCAAGTGCACATGTAAAACCAAATTTATTTTTCTCAAAAAGAGATTCAATATAGCTTAACTTTCTATGGTGTTTTTCATTCAAATGATACCCTCCAAGACACTTCAGAGCAGGGGTTGGCAACCTTTCAGAAGTGGTGTGCCGAGTCTTCATTTATTCACTCTAATTTAAAGTTTTGCATGCCAGTAATACATTTTACCGTTTTTAGAAGGTCTCTTTCTATAAATCTATAATATATAACTAAACTACTGTTGTATGTAAAGTAAATAAGGTTTTTAAAATGTTTAAGAAGCTTAATTTAAAATTAAATTAAAATGCAGAGCCCCCCGGACCGGTGGCCAGGACCCAGGCAGTGTGAGTGCCACTGAAAATCAGCTCGCGTGCATGCCATAGGTTGCCTACCCCTGCTTTAGAGAGTTAAATTATACAACTGCAAAGTTTCTCTCTCTCTCTCTCACGCACCCGCGCACACAAAGGAATGGGAGAAAAAAATATTTTTTCAGATGAAGTTTGAAAGCAAATGGAGAGACCAAGAAAGATAGGGAAGCTGATCCGGATGGAAGGAGATGCAATAAAAGCATCTTCATCACAAAAAGTGTAAAGATTATGTGGAGAATCTGAGAGGAGGCCAGTGCCTAATGAACAGAGGGAGGAGAAGCAGAGAGTTGAGAGGTTCCTGAGGCAGTCTAGAGCTGGTCCTTGAAAGATTTTAGAAAACAAGAAGGGTAGTTTTGAAATGGAACCTGAAATGGGGAACAAGGGGAATTGTCTGGTCACATGGATGATGTGGCAGTTCTTCTCTGTCCACAAGAGAAAGCAGTGTATTTTTCACTCCATGCCTCTGATGAAGTGGGTTATAGCCCACAAAAGCTTATGTCCAAACACATTTGTTAGTCTCTAAGGTGCCACAAGGACTTCTCCTTGTTTCAACCATAAGGGTAAAGGCTACATTGAAGACACAAACTGGACTGGATTCAAACTGGTGCAAAGCTCTATCTCATACCAACGCCCTGAGACATGCTAGTGTTACACTTTCAAGAATGTGGCTTGTTTTTGTATAATCATAGAAATGTAGGGCTGGAAAGGTCCTTGAGAGGTCATCAAGTCTAGCCCCCTGTGCTGAGGCAGGACCAAGTAAACCTAGACTATCCTTGACAGGTGTTTGTCCAACCTGTTCTTAAAAGCCTCCAATGATGGGGATTCCACAACACCCCTTGGAAGCTTATTCCAGAACTTAACTACCTTTATCATTAGAAAATTTTTCCTAATATCGAACCTAAATCTCCCTGAAATTAAGCCCATTACTTCTTGTCCTGCCTTCAGTGGACATGTAGAACAACTGACAACCTCCTCTTTGTAACAGCCCTTAACGTATCTGTTATCAGGTCCTCCCCTCCTGTCTTCTTTTCTCAAGACTAAACATGCCTAGTTATTTTAATCTTTCCTCATAGGGCAGGTTTACTAAACCTGCCATCATTTTTGTTGCACTCCTCTGGACTGTTTCCAATTTATCCACATATTTCCTAAAGCGTGGAGCCCAGAATTGCAGTCAGTGCTTCAGCTGAGGCCTCACCAGTGCAGAGTGGAATGGGACAATTACCTCCCGTGTCTTATACACGACGCTCTTGACAAAATACCCCAGAATTACATTAGACTTTTTCGCACCTGCATCACATTGTTGACTCATATTCAATTTGTGATCCACTATAACCCCCCAGATCCTTTTCATCAGTACTATCACCTAGCCAATTATCTAAGTGGACCTGATGGGACAAGATCACACATTCACTGAAGCAGTCTGAAATTGGGGCCAATTACGCAGACAATACTTGAAATCACCTGAAAAAGAACTGCAATTCTAGAACTTACAAGTTTGGGGGTGATGTTGGGAATCAGAACCAGCAGAAGCTATTTCTTATTAATTACACTTGGATCTTTTTATATGTGTGCATAGGAAATTAAAGTGTTTTCTTTTCCACCTTTCTTCCCAGATTTCTTTCTCCAGCTTGTGGACCATGCCTGATCCTTTGTAATGAGACAGTTACACCTATGGCTCAAATCATCTCACAACGTGGTATCATAATGTTCAAAGTAGCAGTGTCAGACTGGAAGAGCTGGCACTGTGATTCACTAAAAGAAACCAGGATGGGAAGAGGGCTGGACAGGAATGAAAAGTCAGATTTTATCAAAAATTTAGCTGCTCCATCAAGAAGAGGTAAGAGCTTGGTCTACCTGGATAGAAGTTCTGGAAAGATGACTTTATTAAGTCAAGTGCTGACCTTTTTTGGAGCTTACACAAGCAAGGTCTCCTACTCTCTGGACATATAAGAAAGATCTCCCACAATCTATAATCAAGTGCCCACCCACATAAAAACAAAAGACAACATTCAAATTCATACTAAATACAATGTTTTAGAATATAAAATCATTTCAACAGCTACAATTATTCCAGGGTCAACACACTAAGCTCTTTCATCCAAATAAACACCAGCTATTTCCCCCCCAAATACAAGTGGTCAGGGGAGTTTGACCTCATAACCCTTAACTCCACAGCACAACCCTCTACCACTTGAACTAAAGGAACAGCTGGTAGAAGTAAGCTATTACCCTGGATCAGCCCTTAAATAGGAACATGATATACACATTACAAGTAGCATTACACAACTATATGTGAGAGAGTAGTGGACTGTTGGGTACCAGATTCCTGGGATCTGTTCCTGGCTCTGGGAGAAGAATGTGGTCTAGAGGTTAAGAACAATGATTACAAACAGCATAGTCAAGCCAATAGATTTGGCACGTTTGTTCTGAAAGGCAGTGCAGCCAAGCAGATGAGATTTGGTTCTGTGATGTTAGGTGACATCAGTTCTATTCCAAGTTTTCCCAGAAGTGATGTTGCACAACCTCTCAGTTATGCTATTTGTTAAATTAAGGGAATGAATGCTGGAGGAGTTAGGAGTCCTTGTTCAGTAATAAGGGTTGTGAAGTGCACAGAAATATTAAAACCACTCAGTAAAAGAGGCGAAGTCAGAATCTGTGGCTTGCTGGCCCCCACCCCAATGCATCTCCTCCTAAGTCAAAGGGCATTTCATGGGGGAATGCCTCTCTCTCATGTTGCCAGGCATTAAGGGATGCCAAATATGCAGTGTTACGCAAGATCTGAGACTTGGTGGATTGGTAAAATAGAGTAGAATTCAGTTCCAAATGTAAGATTTAATGTCAGGGAAAATCATTTTCTGAGTTATAAATTACAATAAATCAACTTATCACAATGTGTAATCACTTTTAAACAAACAATATTATGGTGTAAGATAGCACACACAAAACCTATTACCTGCATTATGTCTGGCAATATACCCAAGTGCCCAGGCTGCAGCTTCCTTTACTCCAGGGTCAAAATCTTCTAAGCAAATCACAAGTGTATCCAGTGCTCCACAATCAACTATCGCTTGAGCTAGCTGAGGAGAATGTTTACCAACCGCTCTTAACACAAATGCAGCTGCTTTCTTGTAGAAACGCTACACAAATTGGAAACAAAACATACATTTTTACTAATATCAATTACTTCAAAAATCAAGAAGATCAGAACAAATACTAAAAGAAGTATTTTATTATTACTATTGATTAATTCCTATTGCAGTAGCACATAAGTACCCAAATTAAGGATGAAGGCTCCATTGTACAAGACACTGGACAAACAATTAACACATACAGATCCTGCCCTAGTCAGCTCACAATCTAAGATGCTGACAGTATGCAATAGGTAAACAAACAGACAAAATGGGAGGGTTGACGAGGTGTGACTAAAAGATAACAGGAAAGATACATATATTTGCATAAATGAATGCTCACAAGAGCTAGACAAATACAATAAATCTGACCTGTTGGATCCGACTGTGTATGATATGCACCAATCTGCCCCCAGCGCAGGGCAAGCTCCAGGACAGATTCTGTCTATGGTATTTATATGGCCTCCAATACTGTAGAATGTATTTATCCTCACAAGCCCAATAATATTACTTCCATTTTATAGATGAGGAACACACAGACTAATGGCCAGATTTTCAAGAGTATTTAGGCACCTAATGATGCAGATAGATGCCTAATAAGATTTTCAAAAGTTCCTAAGTGAGTTGGGTGCCTAAGTTTCAATGAAGTCAATGAGAATTAGTCACCTAGCCTGCTTCATGTGCTGTTATAAATCCCTCTGGCTGCCTATGTGCATCATTAAGTACCTACATACCATTAAAACGCTGGCCCTAAATGACCTGCTCAATGTCTCTCAAGTCCCAAGCTAGTATCCTAAACACTGGATCACCCTTCCTCTCTAAGGCTAGGTCTACACTACAGCGGTGTTCCGACCTAAGATACGCAACTTCAGCTACGTGAATACCGTAGCTGAAGTTGCGTATTTTAGGTCGGCTTACCTGGTGGTGAGGACGGGGGAAAGCCGACCGCTGCCGCGCTGCCGCCGACTCCGCTGCCGCCTCTTGTCGAGGTGGATTTCCGGAGTCGACGGCAGAGCAATCAGGGATCGATTTTACCGCGTCCTCACGAGACGCGGTAAGTCGATCCCCGATAAACCGATTGCTACCCGCCGGATCGGCGGGTAGTGAAGACGTAGCCTAACTCTCTTAGGACAGCATAGCATGCTCCCCTTTGTGCACCTGGCCATCTCTCTTCCCTACCCCCTTTGGGTTCCTTGTGACCCTGTGGGCACTAGAAGGGAGCAGTCCTTGTGCTTTCTCTGAGCAGATACCAAGATTGTGCCTTGGCTTTGTGTGGGGACTGCACTGGTGACTGTGAAGCATCCATGGGACAACACCTCCTACATGCTTATTGTCATGGGCTTTACAGACCCCTCACTAAGACTAAAGGAGCAAGACCAAGCCAAGAAGGCCCGCCCCTCAGCAGCTGCAGAATATGCTCCAAATGGAGGACCTGCTTAAAATGGGACCCTGGCAATCAAGCTGTGGCGAGAGTGAAGGAAAGGCTGTCTGCAAGAAGGAAGCCAGTTCGGAGAAGGACCTGGACCGTGGGTAAGGCCTTACTGGGCAGCCAGGGGCCTGACCGCTTTTTCTTTCCCCTTCTGTCTGACAAGGGGGAAAACATTGGACATCGCAATTTGGAAACCCCAGCTGACTACCTGAATCACTGAGACTGCTTGAACAACCTTCTGTGAGGAGGGAACCAGAGGGCTGTGACCATGCCCCAAACTGAAAAGAGCACTGGGAAAGTAGGAAGTGGCCCAAGGGAGGCTGATCTGGGGTATCAGTTAGTGGAGATGGAAGCATCCCCACCCCCATCCTCCCTTTGGTCCCAGGCCCAGGATCCAGTTGAGAAGGAGGTCCCAACTCTCCCTACCCTTCCCTCTGCCCCAGCCCAACTGAGGGCAACCCAGAGAAGGACAGACTGTAACTTGGCTACCATGCCCCCAGACTGCCTGACAAGGCCCCCTCCCTCAGGATTTTGGAAATTGATGAGCTGTGGCCAACCTACTAGGCAATTCCCTAATTGAACTGTGCTACACCTATAAAAATGAGCCAGGCAAAATCTAGTCTTCATGTAGTTAATGTGCAAATTGACAGAGGTTAGCCTAAGGGCCTGATCCCAATGAAGTTAAAATGGCAGAACTCCCCAGGACTTCAGTGGCAGAAGGACCTGGTTCTGAAATAGAAAAATGGGTTGCTTTTAATGAAAAAGATATTTTGAATAAAAATAATAACCCTAAAAAATATGTCTCTCTGCCCAAAGCATAATTTAATAGGAATAATATATCCATGATAGGGCAGTTCCTCAGCTGATGTAAACTGGCATAGCTCCATTGACTTCAATGGAGCTATGCCAATTTACACCAGCTGAGGATCTGCCCCAATATACACCCTCCTATGTGTGCATGTGCATTATTCCTTTTATACTGTGGGAAAGACACTTTTTAGGGTTTATTCTTATTCACAATATGTTGTTTTTGAAATAAAACACATTCACAAAAACATTTAGAATGTGCTATAAAACCTTTTTTGTTTTCACTCAGTTTATATGACAAAACACTGATCAGATGCTTGATCCTGCAAGTCCTGCACATGTACAAGTCAATGGAAGTTCCACTATGGAGTGCTCACAAGATCTGATCCTTCTTGATACTGATGCATAAAATGAATGGAACAGGAATGCATAGGGAATTGCCCATAGGAACTAACAAATTACTTGCATGTCTTGCTAAACTCTGTATGAACTGGATAATTAGTTTCCTTCACTTGCCCTCAGTTACTAAAGCACGGTAGGCCTTCTGTGACCTCACACTAATCTTGCTGATGCCCCAAGTGATTTTGAATCACAGCTGTCTCCTGGATGCATTGACAGTATAGACACTAAAATGGAAAAGATAAGTCAAGGTATCTATGCTAACTTTGTATAGTTTCTCCTATCAAATAAATGGTGTAACATCAAATAAACAACAAAGACCATAATTTTCTCTCTTTAAAATAAAGTTATAAATAATTTGGTTATTTAACTGTGTCTAAGTCCTACTTTGTTCCATACTATATACATATTTTAGAATGAATGGGTGATTCCCTTCAATAATAATATGTAATTTTTATTATGACTGTAGAAGTATTAATCAGATATGCAACAATGAAAATATTATTTGATTAGTGATTACTTCTGAATTCTCAAAAGATGAAAAACGATGTAATTTCATTTCAGTGATAAGCATTGATATCTGAATTCCTCTAAATCTAAAACAACAAAACTACAATCTAAATGCGGTTAAATAAATTGGAATTGTAGCCATATTGTAACTTTCAAATTTCTGTATTTTCCAAGGAACCATGTTTGAAAACATTGCTGTTAACCTAAGTTAGGATCCTAAAATTGGAATCCATCCAAAAACTGTAGGAAAAGTGGAGGAGAGCCTGTCAGATATATTTGTGCTATATCATATGACATTTTATTTGACAAACAAGCAGATTAAACCCTTTTAATGTATTGTACTGTGTCTGTGCCAATAATTAGATTTTATATTCCTCATGCTATACAAGTTTCCAAATGTTCATGTTTGGAGATGTTAACTACAGGATAACTGCAGTTCAATTTATGTGCATTTTATAAGCGTTCAGAATTAAAGACAAATTCTAACCAATTATCTGTACAGCATTTCTGATTATTTGAAAAAAAAAAAAAAAAAAAAAAAACAACAGCCTTCTACAAATCCTTTCATTAACACTTCAGAAAAATAAAGCTTCCATGAATATATTACAGATAATACAGAATAAGAATTTTTAAATGTCTCATTGAGTTACAATTCTGACTAACCAGGAGACCAATGCACATGCTGTATGTAACTTCAGTACATGTATTACTGCACTAAGAGTCAAGACAGTTCATTAAGTTTTTTTTCATTGGCAGTTAAAATTGTTTAAGAAAATGAAAATTCCTTACATTCTGTTCAGCCAGTGAATATACAAGCTGTGGAAGAATGTCTCCCTTAACAACCGCCTCTGCCAGGTCATCGTTATAATTGGCAAGTCTCCCAAGAGCCAAAGCAGCAGTCTGTTGAATAGTTGGGACCACATCCAACAGAAGAGGCCTCAGCAAAGACATTACACCTGAGTTGCATTAGGAAGAAGAAGAAAGAGGCAATACTATAAGCAAAGATTTATCTAAACAGACTTTTTTTTCATAAAAACTAATTAAATAGACTCTTACAAGTAGCAGAAACTTGTGATAAATTCACAAATGTTCCATTGAAAATTAATCAAATATTTGCCTGTTCCTGCTAATGTCTATAACATTCCCACCTGCTTTCCAGCAAGTAAAGATGTGTTTGCAGCACATGGGTGGGCGATGTATTATATCTAGGTACTGATTTGCCCCTCCTCTCCTCCCAGCACTTGAATTAATGTCTGTAAAGTTCTCGGATACTTATTTATCACCACAACATCCCTATGTAGTAGGGAAGTATTGTTATCCCTATTATTCATATGAAGAAGCAAGTCTCATTCCCAGTCCAGCACAATAATCACAAAACCATCTTTCCACTCCTCTCCTGATAGTCCATCTGGCATAAAACAATATACATAAGCAGGTGAGTATTTTGGGGCAAATCTTGAGAAAACAAGCAAAATCTTTTTATTTCAGCTTTGCTCTACATGAAGTCATCCTGACCCCAACAGGCCAGGACATCTGGACAGAGGCTATAGCTCCTATAGCAGATTATGGGAAGAGTAGCAGGTCTGCTTTGCCAGACACAGATTTTTTCACCCACAACATTTATAGATCTACCAGCTATGCCCTTGTCCCTCTTATGGCTAATCTACATTCTCTTCCTCCATAGTGAGCTGCAAAGACCCGCTGGGCATACAGGAATGTGGAATCTTCTTTTGCAACATCTCTGCTGATTTTACCCCCTTGTAGTCCCCACAATCAGCTTTTAAAGTGCTTCTGGGACTTAGATGCCCATAGGGCACTCCCGGATTTGGTCCTCTCTTAGAAACACAGTTTAGAGATAATTAACCATCCTCCAGTCTCACTTTTGAACATTCTAAGAGCAAACATAAAAGTTAAAATACTCATAGGACATCACACTAGTATTAATAATTTTTTCAAATATAAAACTATAAACAGAAACCTTTACAAATGGAAGCAGTTTAAACTCTTATTTAAAAAAACAACAAATATGCTACCAAGGAAATGCAAATATGCACAAGAAATTCCATCTTGGGCTTCTAGTGATGAAATATTAGGATGTTCCTCTTGATTTATGCTGCCACCACAACCTATTGACGGAATTACACCAGATTACATTACATACATTATAGTGACTAATTTGGGGAGCAAGAGCTGTAATATATTGCTCTCCAGATAGAAGAGTTATTCATATTTCATTATTATTATTATTGTAATAATTATTTATTATGTATTTAAGGTAGTGCCCACAACATGCTAGCCAATCATAAAAAAAGAAAACTCCCTAACCTAAGGAGCTTACATAATGGATGTACCCTGCTGAATTGAGAGTTTGGGTACATTGTTCCTCACATAATTAAACTATGCAGAGAGATAAAACAATTTAATCAAGAGCAGTTTTGAACCACATTTTATTTTTGACATAAAATACCCTATAAAGCAGAGCCAAATCTAATATAACCTAAAGAACAAACACAAAACAAAAGTTAGGCGATACGTGCATGTCTGCATAAAGAACACAATTTGTAGAGGAGGGAAGGTTACTTATTATACTAACTGTGGCTCTTTGAAAGTGTTGCCTCCATATGCTAAGACCTGGTGGATGTGCTACCTCAGTTGTAAAGCAGTGGTTGCAATGGGCACAAGAGCCCTGCATCACAGCCTCGAATGTTCAGAGCTATGGTAATTATACTCCATTTGTCTCTGTTTTTTCCAACTACACCAGTTTGCATCAGCTGATCTAGCCCACTGTCTGTAGTGACAAATGGAACAGAGGGGGTTCTCCCAAGGGCTCAGTGAGACCATCAACTTTGCCAGCACCAGGTTGAGGGCCCATGATGGAACAAGTTATTTTTATGAGTCTTGTGATGGTGAGTGACTGAAAAAATTTAGAACTGTCCACTGGCAAATTATACATTGGCGTTTCAGACAGACGCACCTGGATAGAAGACAAGGAGAGGATGAGAGACCAAGTACAAGAAATAATCCAGAATAGATTATGGGGATGCATAATGTGGAGATGAATTATTACCAACTTTGTGCCAAGTTACTTAGCCCATCACCAATGAAAGACTTGCACAGAGGGGCTCTGTAGGAGGCAAAATCAGGGTTGGCATCAGTGAAGTTCTGGCACAGAACACTGCTGAGATTCTCACTGCCAATGAGGCCTCTGTGCCTAAAAAAGTTTTAGGCACTACAGCCACAGATCTCAATCTGTCTGGTACTAATTTCTTTGTTGCCGGTGTCATCTGACTTGGCTGGTTTGAAGCTGAAAGTGGCAGATTCTGTCCAATCACAGGAATAGATGGTTAATCTGATGATGTCAGATCCATGGCCAGGCTTGTAAATTGTCCTCAGCGAGGGAGCCACAGAGCCTCGCCTGCCTAATTGTGCATATTCAAGGTGGAAAGGCCCTATACACCAAGCAACAAATCAGGAAATAAGCTTCCCCAAAACAGAACAGCCAGCAAGAATGCTGGTCCGCCTCTGGGAACATGAAAGAACACAAAATACACCACTTGATTCCACCCTCATTATTTAGTTCTCAGAGGCCTGATCGGTCATGACTAAAATACCTAAGGGCCTAGGTCCATTATAAAGTTTAATGTACACAGCTACCTGACACTTACTAGCTAGCTGACTAAATTAATAACATACTGAAATGAAGAGCTTTATGATCACGAGAAAAAAACTCTGTTCCTGGCCAGGAGAGAATGAGCCTACGTCTGTAACTGGCTGTGAAAAGAAAGTAACGGAACCATCTAGGCCCACACAGACCCTTTAAAAATCTCATCTCAGAACATCAAGTGCTGCGAGAGTGCAACCCCGGTGGGCACTACTTCCCAGAAAATTCCTAAAGCCCAGTGCTACAAATCAGAATATGCAGAGGCCCCCTCAATGAGGGAAAGCCAAAATTAAACTCTAAATACATGCACAGCATTATGAAAGCACTGATAGTAGCTCTGAAGTTAACAATGAACCAGGATTTTTCTTTTAATGGTAACTTTGAAATCTTCTAGTTATTTATCATTGGACCATATTCCAAAGAAAGGCAACACTGGGCCCTATATAAATATTTCTTTGGTCATAGAGGTACATTTGGGGCATATTCTGCTGAAGCCAATGAGACTAAGAAGTGGTCTTTGGAGTCTCGACAGCGATCAAGGGCCTGATCCTCCCATACGCCTTCCGATATGATATCAATGGGAGTTCATGCAACACTTTGCAGGAGACACTTATTATCCCAGAGGATTGGCCACTAAATTATTATCCACCCACGCTGTGAGATGAAAGGAGTTTATCATTATTAATAAATTATTTATACATCATTTTGAAATATGCTAGGTTCTTTACAGAGTATGTAAAAAGATAAGGCCTGGTGCCAACTCCAAAAATTTTGTTATCAATTTTTATAATCTCATCCTTTGATAAACCATCAACCTCCCATTCATGAGATGTTACTACTTTTGCAGCCAATAATTTCTTATCTTGCCTTTTAAAATGACAGGTTGCATGCTCAATCCTCCATTCCTGACACAATGCAAAATGCCCACTGAAGATCCGGTTGAGCACAGAGCGATCAGGCACTCTAGTAGTAGTATGAACACACAGACTAATGGCCAGATTTTCAAGAGTATTTAGGCACTCCATACTACATAGAATTCAGTAGACAAGAACAGTGCTACTTTTACACTGACTATGATGGGTTTTCTGCTTTTAATGTATGTTAAATTTGTGGCACTCAACTTCCCTTGTCAGAGCAGGAAGCACAGGTCCCTCTTTTTCAGGTCATTTTATAAAATGTTCTAAGTTGCCAACAGAGCAGAAGGAAATAAACATTCTACATGTTTTGTTTCCAAGCCTTATCCAAACCTGCATTTCTATGAACATCTGTGGGTGGGCTTGAGAGTCAACAAACCTTTTTAACATTTTGAGTGGCTCAAACTTTGAATGCAACAGAGACTGAAGCAGTCTAGATCTGAGGGGTCCAAGTGCCAGATCCACACTAGATGACATTTTTGGCCTGCATGACCTATCCAGATTCCGCAAATTTTAAGCTTTCATTTCTCAGAAATATACTACTAGCCCTTGTGGTTGTGAAAACATAATTGATTAAGCTTTCAAGACTATATGGTGCAGATTTGTCTTTGAGACAATGCAGACAGCCTGAGCCTGAAACAATTGTGCTGATGAGGGAAACTCTCCTGCTGGCTAATAATTTCATTTGAGTATTAAAGCTGAATTACAGGGTATGTCTACACTTTGAGGTGGGGGTGTGATTCCCAGCTCGAGGAGACCTACTCATGCAGCTCTCACTGAGGTACCACACTAAAAAGAGAGTATAGCTACAGCAGTGCCAGTGACAGGATGGGCTAGCCATCCCAAGTACAGGCACAGGGTCTTGGATGGGCATGTACTGGGGGCGGCTAGCCTGTTCCAGAGCTCACACTACCACATCTACACTCTATTTTTAGTCCGCTAGCTCAATTAGACTAGCACTTGTAAGTCTCCTCGAGATGGGACTCACCCCCCCACCTTGAAGTGTAGATATACCCTTAGTGACACCACTTGGAATGTTAGCGTTAAATATTTCACTGATGATCATTTTAGCTGATGCAATAGGGAAGGGATTTAGTGTGAAAACCATTGAATGGAGCGGGGAGGAAATATGCAATGGGAAGAAAGGAGAAAGATGGGAAAGGTTGAGAAAGAGTAGTAGTAGTGGTGATCATAGAATATCAGGGTTGGAAGGGACCGACCTCAGGAGGTCATCTAGTCCAACCCCCTGCTCAAAGCAGGACCAATTCCCAACTAAATCATCCCAGCCAGGGCTTTGTCAAGCCTGACCTTAAAAACCTCTAACGAAGGAGATTCCACCACCTCCCTAGGTAACCCATTCCAGTGCTTCACCACCCTCCTA